TGGAGAGTACCTTCAATCATTGACCATCAGCAAAAACTCCTCTGAACCAGCTCAAACCTCCTCTGCACCTTTAAGCTTTCTGGGTCATCACTTGCCTTCCACATGGTAAAAACTCTTCCTTTGGCCACTGCATGTCCTGTATATTCTACTGATTTTGTTTTCTTAACACTTAAATGTACTTTGTATACCTGACATTTTAAACATGTTTTGATCATCAATCATATCTCTCTCCTCTATTTATTTCATGTTTCTCACACAACAACACCATTAGAAGATATAGAACTAACACATGTCTGATTGATTAAACACATGAAAGAAGGAGGAAAGGAATATAAACATATATGTATATTAAGTAATAGTGGATAATTTTAAGATGGTAACTGTGTTATAAGGAAGCAATATCTTAAACTGAAGAAGTTAAATTGAGATGAAAATTTAAAAACTATACCAAGAAGATAGAATAAGAATATACAAAAGTTCCTAGTTGAAACTTCTGTTATAAATTGGACCTTGCATACACATTTTCTCAACTTTTCTTAAGAAATATAGATTTTCATACAATCTATAACTAATCAGCAGAGAATTCTCATAGACATTTAACCAAGCAGAGGGAAAAAAACAGAATGACAAAGTTCAATGGAAGAAATATCTTCTCTGAACAGATGAAATGCAAATGTGTTTGATCACTTCAGGAACTGGTAGTGGAAGAGGATTTAAAATTTTGAGGGGGAAAAAAGTCCATGGCAAAGGGAAAAAATAGTCTTTCTAAAAAAATCAGAGTTTTAATGATGAACAATTTTGACCAATTAAAGTTAAGACTAATTGCTATGGTGATTTTCAAGAAGAATGAAGCTAATGAGTTTCTGAATGTCAACTACAATTTTTGAGTACTTTTAATTTGCAATCTTTTTATTTAATGAAGAAAGTATTGAAGATTCATTTTAAATGTATTCAAACTGCATTTTAGTTTTTCCAGCTGTATTTTGTATAGGAACTATATTTTACTGTAATATCCACTCAGTTTTTTTGGAAGGAAAAAAATCTTAAAAAGTCTCCTCTAGGAGTGTCAAATCATACACTCTGTCACAATTCCAAAAATAGCTTTGCTCATTGTTACACAGAATAAGAATCTGATCTGATACACTAATCCTATGATCTAGGGGAAAATGGTTGACAGATTGCTTGACCTAGGAAATCATTCAGAAAACTCTGCTAGAAGCAATGTCCCTGCCATTTTTTTTTCCATATAAATTTTTGATTTCTATCAATTTTCACTAAAGCAAACTTTAAGGAAAATGCCTAAGGGTTTTTAATTCACAGTAGTTTAAATTTGTCTGTTGCAAGTAGATAACAAGTAATCCTTCTCTCCTATTTTTGCAGAGGCAAATGGGGTAAATGATAAGAGTAGTAATCTGTCTTTTCCTTCTTGTTTTGCTAGATATTAATTACAATAAATGTAAGGATACAGAAAGACTATCTATACATTTAAACCTACTTCAGCCTAGATACTCATGTGAAGATCAACAGCTAAAAACCCAGGCAGATTATGTACATACATTAATAATTGGTGCTTACGCTCACATTTGAGGGTTTGCTTTTCATTTGCTAGTATTGATGTTTACAGAAAAAGAAAAGAACTGACACTACAAAGTTGAATGCACCAATCGCAAGAGCCCAATCATGCACAGGAGAGGAATAATGAGCTGATTCTTCTTGCTTTCCTCTTCTCATTTCCCCCTCTTGATTTTGTTTTTTAATACCGAGGTAGTATTTGATACTGTATGCGGGGAGGGATATACCAAAATAAAAACATGAAAAGCCACACACACAAAAAAAGAGAAGCCATCAAATCACGGGTGACTTTTTGTATCTGCATTTCAGATTCACTTTGCCAATTATTTCAAGCTCAGAAAATGCAGAGGAACAAGGGTTACCCACTCCTATATGTGCTGTATTTTCTGCTTCATTGTCAGGATGGCAGACAACAGGAAAGCAAACAAACAAAAAAATATGTATTTGCAATGTTTTTATTGTTAATGCTTTTATAGTCCAAAATTCACTAAACAGAACTATTTGTAGAAAAATACCTACTTTGCGATACCATCTCTTTCTCTACCCTGCAATTGAAAGAATAGCAAGAAATATTGTTAGACCCGAGGCCTTTAGTTGATATACATAGGACTGATTTAAGAGTTTGACCTTTTCTGTATAACTCATAGGCAATAATCTTTGAAATAAACTTTACTTAAGATAAACACACTTATACAAATGAGGGGTTCAATACAATTTGTTGAGCACTAGAGGTTATTAAATTTAACAAGTAATTTGTAGATAATGATGTGTGCTATCTACATATCTATTACTATAAATTAGAGATAATTTTCTGTTTCTACTATAGATATTAATGTAATTTTCCTCCATCAGAATTTGAGGTATGTACACAAATTTTAAGAGAAAAAATTATACCCCTCTTCAGTAATAGTGATCAGAGAAATCATATATTCAAGTGACACATCTGAGATTTTCAACATAGCAGCTCTGTGTATAGTATACATTCAAGATATTTTTCTGTAAGCATTTAAACAATTTCCAAAATCATGCCATGGTAACTGAATGAAAATTTTATTGTATTTACAAGCAGAAGGACTTTGAAGTTGTTACAAACAAATGTATTCCTTTGACATAAGAGAAATAAGGCCCTAAGAGATAGAATGACCTGCCCAAGGTCAAACCTTGAGTTCATGGAAGAACCAGAACTAAAAAAAACCCAAAGACTTCAGTTATGAGATGTATTCATCAGTGCTAAATTCTATTGAGGAGCCAGAAAGTTTTCATTGTCTTTTGAAATTCTTGTTTTTCTCCAGCAGTTTATGTTTATAAAAGCTGTCTTTAACAGATTATTTCTCACCAACACTCTCAAATATAAGCTTCTATTTCAAACTTCATGTTTTTTTAAATAAAACAGTACTTTTTTTTGAAGACTTAAAAGTATTGTGCACTACAAAAGAATAACTTAAAGACTTTGGAAATTTACTTTAGAAATTTAAAAATATTTGTCCATTTGGTATTCAAGATGTTCATTCATGAAGGATTTGGATATACTTCATTACACAGTGAAAGGTTTAAATGCATTAATTGACATTTATTTTCCCCTTTCCTTTTTAAAGCCTATTTAATATTTGGTAGCAAGTTGAAGACTAAGAACCCATTTTGGGAAAATAATCATTAATTACTATTCATATTTATTCATATGTTTTTATAGATTATGTGTGTGTGTATACATGTGTGTGTGTGGTGTGTGTATGTGTGTTTTCATTTGTTTGTTTAAGTGAACATCTGCAAAAACTATTAGTTCAATTTTGGAAAAGAATATTTTGTTGGTTATGGACCATAACCAATACTAAGCAAATATTAATAGAAGTTAGTTAAGAAGATTGCCAGGAACTTTTCAACTTTATAGCTGCTTCATTGCTAGAAAGTGGCATATTTTACTAGTGGGTCTAATAATGACTGAAGATTTAAGAAGCCATTGGAGGTCAATAAAGCCATCAAAAAACTCCTCAATTAACAAATGTATTAATTGATTTTCTTGAATACCCAATTTAAGGGTCAGTCTCTCTGGTATAGATTAAGCAGCAAGTCGCACATACATGTACACTAGCCTGGTGTTCTGTGTTGAAAGATAAACATAAGGAATTGTTTGAAACCTAATGATTATAAGTCTCTCCTTTACACAGCATACTCAGCTGTTGCTCAGTGACAGTAGCTTCTCTCCATGGGATACAGCTTTGTGTGTAGACCTCTAATCTAACAGTTATAATGATGCTTTTTATCATAATCACAAAGCATTTAATTGCATGGAGCAATTTAGAAAACAGAGTCTAGGTCAAGACAGATCATAATCTAACGACAGATAACACTGATGTGGAAAGCATAGAGGGTATGCAAACAGCAAAATAATAAGCAATGAATAATTAGAGAGATAAAACTTCACAGTCTCACATTTTTTCTGTTCAGGGTAAATGCATTTTGGACAGGGCACCTTTGATTGTTAAATGCTTTAAAGGGCCATCAGATGCTATTATTTCGTTGTTGAACTTTCACAATTCCAGAGATGATGATTGCCTACCATTGCACCACAAGATAAAGGGCTGTGGGGAGATAGAGAAGGTAGTGAGATGTAAATAAATCACAAAAGCATTGCGACACAACATCACTTATGCCAAGTGTTTACTTTAATTACAAAACTTATTTTTTTTCTACTCTTTCTTATATCGTATTGTTCAGGAAACAGTTTTACACATATATCTAAAATACCATGCTCTCACATATACTATTTAAAGGCAAAAATGATCAGCTGACCAGAGTACTCAGCTTGGGGTATCTTGCTTTATGACTACATTAATTTTGGAAAATGAGAGATGTTATTTCCAAGAAATGGTAAGGGGTAGTACAATATAATTACTTTATTCAATTGTGTATCTGTAGAAATTAAGCTAACTTTCTAAAACTTAAAAAGACAATGTCACTTAACATCTTTGGTATATCAGTATGGATTAGCAGGAAAATATTCTATGATAAACTTATCTCTGAGATACCAAGAAGAAATTCTAGTCCAAGCTTTAATATGCTTCCTATATTTTCACTTGATGCTTCTTTTACTGTTGTTCCTCATTCTTTTTCACATTGCATTTTAGAGGATTTGTAGAACCTTTAAAACTTCATTAACAAGAATAAATCCAGTATTCATTGATTTCTTCTCAAAAGGCACTCTAACCCATCAGACAGCCTGGTAGTTACAGTCTCATGAGTACTCTAGCCACAAAAAAAAAAAAAACTCAATAGGGCACAAACATATCCAATGGATAGAAAAGAAACCTATTAGTTTGGGAATATTTAGTGTGTTAGATGAGTCCACAATTATGAAGCCTAAAGTCCCTCATTGTAAACAGGAAACTGTTTATGAGTTTGTCCTTCCATATTTTCTGTTTATTCTGTAGGCCAAGAAATCTACTCTGATGCCCTTCTTCACCTGTCACAGAGCCAACCCTTGGAGGTTCAACAACAACACTGCAAATTATTCCTCCTGATAATGAAGTAAGATACAGCTAAGGCCAAGCCCTTGTTTCATGGTGCACATGCACAGCTAATCACAAAAGAACTTTCCCCCTTCATACAACAAGGATAACTCTAATTGATAACCTTTTCATTTTCTTTATTGGCATTCCTTAAAGAGTTGATTAAAAATAAAAGAGCAAAAATCTTTAGGAAAAAAGGTAAATAAAGCAAATATAGATGGAAGGAAATAATAATAATAATTTATTTTAATTCTTCCTACTGTAATGTCAAACTTCTCATGTTTTTGAAAAAACATTGGCTCATATAAATAAATCTTGGTTTCAAGCAAGGACAATCTGAATAATTTTCACGTATTTGTATATTACTTGATCATCAAAGAGAGGATACTAAGGAGAAATGCAATTATTTTCTTGGAATGTTTTTTAATACAAGCAGACAAGTATGTTTCAGTATCTAAAGCTTAAAATGGTAGATTTAAACAAAACACATCAATATAAAGACTAAAAATAGTTGAAAGGCTACCCCTCCCTAATTGTTCACTTTAAATTCATGTGTATTCTATTAAAAAGGAAACAAAATGATCTTGATTATAAAATAAAAACTTTGCCCTGAAAACGTTTTCTGAAATTGATAGGAAGTTGTCACACTAGATGTGTATGTGTGTGAGCCACTGATTATACTTGTGAGATGTGAGTTTCGGTTTTGCGTATTCCTACAAGAGCCATCTCAGCTGTGTGCATTTTTCTGCATTCACCTCCTTTGTCTAAGATAAAATAGTGCAAAAGTAAATGCAAAATTCCCCTTATGCTAAACTTGTTTCCCAACATATCAATTGCATAGGAACAAATTCACAGTTTTAAAAAAATTATCATTATATCAAAATACACTACGTAATCTGTGTTAATTCCAAATAATAAGAAATAATTTATCTGTGGCTCATTTGGCCACACAGTCTCAAACATCAGTTATAGGAAAATAAATGAGCCTATTAAGTAAATATGCAAACCACTGGATTGTGACAGTGGATATAATTACTGGAGCAATGGTTCCCATATCTTAGCATGATCACAAGCCACTTCAGTGTTTGCTAAAATTCAGATTTCCTCCATTCCCAGAGTTTCTGTTTCAGTATTTGCATTTTTAAACATTCTCAAGAGATGGCTGATGCTTCTGGCCTGGGAGACAGGGCCACTTGCTAGACCACTTGGTTCTACTATACTAACTGTTCTAAAAGCACTTTATGACACTGTGTTCCAGGACTACACAAGTAATAAAATCTGTTTTCATCAGGGTCACACAAAAAGAATGTGACTTTCTCACCAAAAAGATTCCAGTAACCATCCTCTAACATCCCTTGCTCTAATGCTAGTAGCAAAAGAGAATAAGAACAAATTTATAGCTTAATTCACTGTAGTGTTGTGACATTCAGGGTATCTTCTATTAAGGATTTGTCATTCTATAGAAACCACATGTACTTGTGGTGCAGTTGACTTCATCCAGGGACACCCCTAAATTAGGAAAAAAAAAACAGGAGAATCCTGATTATTAATAAGTGGTCCATTTAGGGAAAAGTGTGACACTTTAGCTCAATGTTTTGGGAAGCAATGTTCTTTCGCTTCTATAAACCTAAATGGAGAAACAGGTCACCCCAGAAGTTGCAGGCAGCCATTGTATCACCATAAGATAAGCCAGACTTAGGGCAAAGTTAAATTTCCAGGATTAGAGCCAAGAGAATAGCAGAGAAATCAAGTCAGATTCTTCATTGATGAGAACCTGAAGTCTATACTACAATGAAAACTTTCAGGTACATACTGGCTTATTCACTTTTAATTTTTAATCCAACTCAAGAATAGTTCTCTATTATTTTCAATGAAAGTAAATCAAATAAATCAAAAGAAAAAAGAAGCACTCCTACCTAAAGAGGTACAGACAAAGCTAAGAAGAAAGAGGTGCTAATAAATCAAGCAGTAAGCATATTGAAGGTATGCAAAGTCATCACAGAAATCTACTGATAAACATTCTACTGAAAGTGAATTCTGGATATTTGTAGATGAAATAATCAAAATTTTGTTAATGAAGTTTGTGAAACAAAGCGTCAGCAATTCCAGGTAGGAGAACATGGATGAACCACCAAAAGGATACAAGGACTCAACAATGAAGGACAGGGAGCATCCAGGACAACAACATGTACGAGCTCTTTCCAGGGCCAGGTACTCAGAACTCAGTCATTTGTACAGAAGGTGAATATAATCTCCATTCCTGAGCACAATTAGTCATTCTGAATAAGTTTTTGGTTGACTTCATAAAATCTCAAAGAATCTTTCTAACCTATTGTCAAACACAGAGATCTGGACCAATAGAACCATATCTGCCTATTTCAGTCCAGGTCTGGGGCAAGATTGGACAAAACCAGTCAGGCAGTGCCACTCCCACGCAACTCAGACTGATTTTGAGTATATGTGATCTATTTTCACCAACAGAGAGCAAACAAACAATAGAGCTATGGGAAATAAAGGACTTTTCAAGAATACTTAATCTGAAATGCTAGTTTACCTGACAGAAGAGAAACTCTTCTACTATCATTTGGTTTTGGGCAGATTAAGCCAGTAAATCAAACAGCAAATAGAAAGAGCATGATATTGGAAACTAGATAAATCTGAGTGTGAAATCCTACCTTACGGAATCCATTTAAACTTTCTAAGTATCAGATTTCTCATCTGTAAACTGAGAATTATATGGAACTTATAGAACTTTTTTTTTTAATGTATGCAACAATTAAATAAGCATCTCCCAGTCCATGGCACTTAATAGGTATGTAATATGTGAAATTTTTTTTCTCTTCCCTTTATGCTAACTACTTCAGTAACCCTTTAGAACAAAATACAACATGGCTACAGTTAGCCTAGACTCTTCATGAATGGGGATAATCTGAGTTTATCACCCACACAATTTCAAGTCATTATTATATTGAAGGGTCATCATCTTGATGGTACCCCCAGGTAGTATGCGACAGAGTATCCCTCAGAGGGGAATAAATCTATTGGCAACAGATACCATAATAAGATCCAGGGTAGCATTCAGATACATATGGAAGGCCGACAGTAAGTTCTATAAAAAGCAGATTATATTTTCTATTAGCAAATGTCAGACACTCTTGTGGGGTTTGGGAGTTAATTTTATTTTATTTTACTTTTTGGTGCTGGGTCTTAAACCCAGAACCCTGTGCACAGAAGGCATGTGCTCTACCACTCAGCTCAACCAGAGCCCTAGTCAGCTCTTTGTGTACCTCTTGAGCCAGTTGTTATCTGACAAGCAATTTTCACGTTTAGCAGTAGAACAGGAAGCCCAAGGGCTGATGTGCCCATGGAAAGTAAGTCATCAAACAGTGAAGCTGCAAGAAAAGTATATAGCGTTTTCAGACTCATTTATCAACACCATCTCCTGGAATACTTCTACAAAGCTGCTGAAATGATGGTCCAATTTGCTCCTGCTTGACAAACAATAATAATCTCAAATTGCTGAGTTTAAAAAGAAAAGGGTACCTTAAGAGCTTTTGCATATACCATTCCTGCTGTCTTTTATATAATAAAACCTCCACTACTGGAAATTCTGTCCATCAAAAATAATGTACATTTCTAGCTCTGTATTTACAAGGCATGTGTTAATAGATATGTGGCTGGAGTTCTGTTTTGTTTTGTATTTCTCCTTATTTTAAACTTATTTTGCCACCTGCAATGTACTTTTTTAAAAGCCTTGCTGAATGATACATTCACTTAAGAAAATTGTAGAATTTACTCCGAAAATCAGAATGTGTTGTTTAATAAAGTTTTGTGACTCTGCTGCCTACTACTGTCACTTAACTATTCAAACTATATACCTGGGTATTATTCAGAACACACAATGTTACAAAAAAGGCTGATTTCATGGGAAATTAATTTATAAAGTATTCAACATTTGTATTACCTTTACAATGAATTCTTAAAATTTTTGTTTGCTTATAAGAATATAGAGACATTAAAGAAAATATTGCTGTGGTGTTTATCGTACAGAATTGATTTCCCCAGTGAACACAGCTGGATTCCTGGTTTCAACATTACCAGCTATGTGAGCTTGGCCCCCACCATCAGTACCACCAGTATAGTACTGTGAAGAACAAATTAAATAATGAATTCATTCAAGTTTATTACTATAAAGAACCAATTAAATAACAAATATTTAACATTTCCAAAATTAAAAGTACTAAGCTTTTGAAGTTTTAAATATTCTAGATTCATGTTTCAGCTCCATCATTGATACCTGTGTGACCTTTACAAGTAATTAACTTTAATCCCAAATTCTACATCCAAATACTACAAAAAACAGTGATACCCATCCAACCTATCTTACAAGTTACTATAAATTTGTGATAAAACTGTATCCTCTAAAAGTGAGTTGTCCACTGTAAATATTATAAAATTCTTAATAAGTTGGTATTTTTGCCTTTATAAATTATACTTCAAAAGAGCCTTCCTAGTTACCCTACCAAATTCTTAATAAAGTGAGAAAGAAACTTCAATTAAACATGCTGGATTATAAACTCCACAAAATTAGGAATTCTGCCTGTTTTGTTCCATGATGCACCTTATACTCCTAGACTGACATGTAATGCATAGCAAGTATTCAATAAGTTTTCATTCAATAGATGTTAGTTTAAATAAGTGGAAAATATAGTGAAGTTGGTATGGTAATAGTGATAGTTTGGAAAAAAAGAGATAATGATATGAATATTGTTGAAAAATCAACTGGCAATAACAAAGATAAATTTTCTGGAAGGTAAAAAATAATAAATGAGAAGATTCTATATTTTTATTCTATGATTTACCTTGGGAAAAAAATGGTCACATTAGACTTCCCTAGGGTCAAACAATACATGGTTTTCTTCCACACACAAGAAACAAAAAAAACAAAAAGAAAAACATGAAAATAAACTAGAAGCAAGCAATCAGCAATGTAGAGATCTTTTCAAGAAAGAAAATGTTGATACCTACTT